AATGCCCCAGGAGGGTGAAAGAGACCGAGGTTGCCAAAATCAGGGCAGTTGAGAGAGTCTCCTATGCGGAGGGTGTTAAAAGGGTAGAAAGATTGAGTATCTCTGAAGTTCCCATGCTGGTGGATAGGCCTACACCACAACCTGCGGAGAGTTCCTGTCGCAGGAGGTTGGTGGGCACCTTAATTGGGTAGAACGGGCTCGTGGTAACGGCTGGAGCGGAATTAGTGGAATGGTGTCAAATACATCAAATTACATTTGTATTTATTAGGGATCCCCATTAGCTGCTGCCAAGGCAGCAGCTACTCTTCCTGGGGTCCAAACACATTAAGGCACTTACATTACATATAAAACAAAATATAAAACAGTACATCATAACATTATTACACCACTACATTTTACATTTTAGTCATTTAGCAGACGCTCTTATCCAGAGCGACTTACAGTTAGTGAGTGCATACATATCTACAATACAAAATGTATAATACCACCATACAACAATATTACAATGTATGTGTGTGTAGAGTGCGTGTGCTAGCGCTTGTGTGTGTATGCATGTGTCTGTACCTTTGTGTGTGTCTCTTCACAGTCCCTGCTGTTCCATAAGGTGTATTTTTACCTGTTTTTTTTTAAATCTGATTCTACTGCTTGCATCAGTTACCTGATGTGGAATAGAGTTCCATGTAGTCATTGCTCTATGTAGAACTGTGCACCTCCCATAGTCTGTTCTGGACTTGGGGATTGTGAAGAGACCTCTGGTGGCATGTCTTGTGGGGTATGCATGGCTGTCCGAGCTCTGTGCTAGTAGTTTAAACAGACAGCTCGGAACATTCGGCTTGTCAATACTTCTTACAAAAACAAGTAGTGATTAAATCAATTTCTCTTCCACTTTGAGCCATGAGAGATTGACATGCATATCATTAATGTTAGCTCCCGGTGTACTTTTAAGGGCCAGCCGTGCTGCCCTGTTCTGAGCCAATTGTAATTTCCCTAAGTCCCTCTTTGTGCCACCTGACCACACTACTGAACAGTAGTCCAGGTGCAAAACTAGGGTCTGTAGGACCTGCCTAGTTGATAGTGTTGTTAAGAAGGCAGAGCAGCGCTTTATTATGGACAGATTCTCCCCATCTTAGCTACTGTTGTATCAATATGTTTTGACCATGACAGTTTACAATCCAGGGTTACTCCAAGCAGTTTCCACATTATTCATTACAAGATGTAGTTGAGGTTTATGGTTTAGTGAATGATTTGTCACAAATTCAATGCTTTTAGTTTTTGAAATAACTTATTTCTTGCCACCCATTCTGAGACTAACTGCAGCTCTTTGTTAAGTGTGTCAGTAATTTCAGTCGCTGTAGTAGCTGACATGTATGGTGTTGAGTCATCCGCATACATAGACACACTGGCTTTACTCAAAGTAAAAAGTAAGGGGCCTAAACAACTGCCCAGGGGAATTTCTGATTCTACCTGGATTATGTTGGAGAGACTTCCATTAAAGAACCGTCTGTGTTCTGTTAGACAGGTGACTCTTTATCCACAATATAGCAGGGGGTGTAAAGCCATAACAGATACTTTTTTTCCAGCAGCAGACTATGATTGATAATGTCAAAAGCAGTACTGAAGTCTAACAAAATAGCCAATCATCAGTCATTTGTGTAAGTGCTGTGCTTGTTGAATGTCCTTCCCTATAAGTATGCTGAAAGTCTATTGTCAATTTGTTTACTGTAAAATAGCATTGTATCTGGTCAAACACATTTTTTCCAAAAGTTTATTAAGGGTTGGTAACAGGCTGATTGGTCGGCTATTTGAGCCAGTAAAGGGGGCTTTACTATTCTTGGGTAGCATAATTACTTTTTTCCCTCCAGGCCTGAGGGCACACACTTTCTAGTAGGCTTAAATTGAAGATATGGCAATATCGTCCGCTATTATCGTCAGTAAATTTCCATCCAGGTTGTCAGACCCCGGTGGCTTCTCATTGTTGATTTGTTAATTTTTTCACCTGTTCCACACTCACTTTACGGAATTTCCATGTGTTTGATGCCATTCCATTTGCTCCGTTCCGACCATTATTATGAGCCATTCGCCCCTCAGCAGCCTCCTGTGGTTCCTATCACCAGCAGTTCTGCCTCGTGCGGCAAGCCCCAGAGCCTGTGTAGGGAGTTATGGAGTTTTTGAATGACTGAAGGAGTGGGATGTTTTTTATAACGTTATTTTTTTTGGTGTGTAATACGTGTGGATTCATGTTTTTTTTCCCCTTCTCTGTAATGGAATTGACCTTTTTTCGTATTTTTTCCCACCCCCGTTCAGTTGGCGGCGGCAATTCAACAATAGTTGTGGTACGTCATAAAATCACAGAGAAGAAGAAGAAGAGAATCGTACTTTCCGCCATTCTAGCCTGCGGTGTCACTCAACAAAAATCGTGGACTGAGAAATTTCTCCAAACATGCCATTCACAACCGCGTAGGGTAGGTGTAAACACTCTGGCTTTGCACGTTCGAAGGATACATTAACGTACTCCTGAATAATGCTAACTTTTAAACTGACAACATTATATGAATGTCACATGCACCGAACATAAGGAGCGTGCAAGTGAAGTTATATTTAGACTCAAGCTAATGCTAGCAGTAGCAGGCTAGCAGCAAGCAGACTATTCTTCATAACAATGCATTTACTGGTAGCTAGCTAGCTAAGAATATTCCAAAACTTGCACGTTTTCTTTGCAATAAGGTAGGTAATGAAAGCTTATTTACAACGGTTTACTTACCTAACTCTTTTAGCGAGCATGCCTTCACAGCGCAACACCAAAACCGCTCAATGTTTTTGTTGTTGAGGAAACAGAAGGCAGTGAAGCAGCAGCAGTTGTTAGCTACCTAACAGTAGTTACTTAATAACTAGTTAAGCTGAACAGCTACTACTAGCTAGATACATTTGTCCTTCATTTGTCCGTCTGGATTGTGCTTGTAATTTATGCCTGGGAAACTATTTAGGCTTAGTTAGCTACAGTAGGTAACGTTTGCAGACTTGAACCTTTGTTTTAACTAGTTAACGTAGCTACGTCTCACAATGGACTAAATTAGCTAACAAGCTGTCCACTTGACTTGTGACATGCTAGCAAGTTTTCACATACAGTGAGGGAAAAAAAAGTATTTGATCCCCTGCTGATTTTGTACATTTGTCCACTGATAAAGAAATTATCAGTCTATAATAGGTTTATTTGAACAGTGAGAGACAGAATAACAACAACAAAATCCAGAAAAACGCATGTCAAAAATGTTACATTGATTTGCATTTTAATGAGGGAAATAAGTATTTGACCCCCTCTCAATCAGAAAGATTTCTGGCTCCCAGGTGTCTTTTATACAGGTAACGAGCTGAGATTAGGAGCACACTCTTAAAGGGAGTGCTCCTAATCTCAGCTTGTTACCTGTATAAAAGACACCTGTCCACAGAAGCAATCAATCAGATTCCAAACTCTCCACCATGGCCAAGACCAAAGAGCTCTCCAAGGATGTCAGGGACAAGATTGTAGACCTACACAAGGCTGGAATGGGCTACAAGACCATCGCCAAGCAGCTTGGTGAGAAGGTGACAACAGTTGGTGCGATTATTCGCAAATGGAAGAAACACAAAATAACTGTCAATCTCCCTCGGCCAGGGGCTCCATGCAAGATCTCACCTCGTGGAGTTGCAATGATCATGAGAACGGTGATGAATCAGCCCAGAACTACACAGGAGGATCTTGTCAATGATCTCAAGGCAGCTGGGACCATAGTCACCAAGAAAACAATTGGTAACACACTACGCTGTGAAGGACTGAAATCCTGCAGCGCCCGCAAGGTCCCCCTGCTCAAGAAAGCACATATACATGCCCGTCTGAAGTTTGCCAATGAACATCTGAATGATTCAGAGGAGAACTGGGTGAAAGTGTTGTGGTCAGATGAGGCCAAAAATCGAGCTGTTTGGCATCAACTCAACTCGCCGTGTTTGGAGGAGGAGGAATGCTGCCTATGACCCCAAGAACACCATCCCCACCGTCAAACATGGAGGTGGAAACATTATGCTTCTGGGGTGTTTTTCTGCTAAGGGGACAGGACAACTTCACCACATCAAAGGGACGATGGACGGTGCCATCTACTGTCATCTTGGGTGAAAACCTCCTTCCCTCAGCCAGGACATTGAAAATGGGTCGTGGATGGGTATTCCAGCATGACAATGACCCAAAACACACGGCCAAGGCAACAAAGGAGTGGCTCAAGAAGAAGCACATTAAGGTCCTGGAATGGCCTAGCCAGTCTCCAGACCTTAATCCCATAGAAAATCTGTGGAGGGAGCTGAAGGTTCGAGTTGCCAAACGTCACGCTCAAAACCTTAATGACTTGGAGAAGATCTGCAAAGAGGAGTGGGACAAAATCCCTCCTGAGATGTGTGCAAATATGGTGGCCAACTACAAGAAACGTCTGACCTCTGTGATTGCCAACAAGGGTTTTGCCACCAAGTACTAAGTCATGTTTTGCAGAGGGGTCAAATACTTATTTCCCTCATTAAAATGCAAATCAATTTATAACATTTTTGACGTGCATTTTTCTGGATTTTTTTGTTATTCTGTCTCTCACTGTTCAAATAAACCTACCATTAAAATGATAGACTGATCATGTCTTTGTCATTGGGCAAACATACAAAATCAGCAGGGGATCAAATATTTTTTTCCCCTCACTGTTCATAGCTCCCTCACATACCGCTATCTCATGCAGTAGCTAAATCGGTATTAACAGTGTGAAAATAAATAGTTACTTAATCTGGTGTTTTTAGAAAATGCTTTCTTGTTGCAGGTGTCAATACTGACTACATAGGAAAGCTTTGTTTGTGCATGGACCAGGTGAATAGTTGTGGCACTCATTTTAATTTCATGTCTTTTCCAGCTACTGACAATTCATGTCTCATTTGAAGCATAGCCTTTGAGATTTAGCTAGATATTGGTGCTGGGAGCTCTCTGATGTTCAACCATGGATGAAGAAGACAGCCAGGATGAGCTGATCAACCAGAATGCCTCCCACGGAAAAGAAAAAAGGCCTGCGGTGTGGGCAATCTCAGGTATGGAATCATATTCCTACATGAATACCCTAAGGAGTGAATCTTAGGAGGCTTTCACACCGAATTGGTTTGTAGCGGTTTTTCCGAACTCTGGTGCGTTTACCACCTTAGTTCGGTTGGACTGGTGTGAACACACTATCCGCACTTGGGAGCGCAGTAAACCACGAAACGTGGTTCGCTCAAAAATGGTTGTCTCGGTCAGATTGAATTCGTACTGTGGTGCGGTTCGCTGCAGGTTAGAACGCAGTCCGGACCAAACACAGGAAAATAACCGGAGTCGCGCAGTATTATTGGTTATTTGACTGCGAGCATTTGATGAAATGCATGCATCATCATAACTTTATCTTTTAAACATTCAGTGAGTATAGCAGCATCAGATGCAGATTAGGGGAGACTGGGGCTATACTGGGGATACAGGCTACTGTATAGCCCTTTCACGTCGCAGTTAGAGCGGCTATTGCGCTGTTTCCTCCCGCATGTTGTTTTGAGACCAAAGCTAAAGTAATATGAAGATTGTGACACAAGTGATGCTTCATGATAATCAAAGATAAATGCTCACGTTAAATCTTTCTCCAATAAACAAATTACTTGCATGGACACGTGGTTTTGTTTAGGAATTTTAGTTTTTTTGACATTTGACAATGTGGAACGAACCGGACCAAAACAATTAAATAAACAATGTAACAAATAATCAAATTCTGATTCGAACTATAGCTCAAAACTATGTGTGAAAACTTCCTTAGTGATTGGCTCAAGCACCCCTCACTACTGGTATTGGAAATAATTGGATTACTTACTCATCTACTTTTCTTTGTCAACTTACAGATGAAGACAGTGATGAAGATGGGGAGGAAACTGAGGAGGGAACTTCTGACAGTGGTGAGGAGGAGGAAGACCACCTTGATGGAGAGGAAGACGAGGAGGAGGAAGAAGAGGATGACAGTGATGGTGAGAGACTATGGAGATGTAGTATTTTGTATTCATGGGAAAGAATCTGAAATGGTCCATGGTACACTTTTAGTAGCCAAGGTATAGACCTACCACTTGAGTTTCATAACTTCTGATCATACAACATTCTCAGATGGAGAAGAGGGCGCGGTGGGGGGAGCGTCTGCTGACTTGGCAGGTCTGAGCTCAGACGAGGACACAGAGAAATGCCCCATTTGCCTCAACTCCTTCCACAGCCAGCCCGTGGCCACGCCAGAGAGCTGCGAACACTACTTCTGCCTCGACTGCATCCTTGAGTGGTCCAAGGTGGGTGGGTGACATCAGAGGGGACAAGAAGAGAGGTCAAGGGGTCAAAGCTTTTTATTCACTTCAGTGTTAGTACAGACACAAAATTATGATATTTTCGGAAGAACTAGAAGACAGTCACCCGTCAAATTCATTAGCGTCACTGGAACCATGGTCCAAAGACACCGCAGCTTTCACTTTCAGTCCTATAAACTGAGGTTTTGTTAAGACGGACAGTAGTGATATGTTAGTGTGTCCAAATGTTGTGCATCCAATCGTGTTTTGTTCTTCCCTCAGAATGCAAACTCCTGTCCTGTGGACAGAATAGTCTTCAATAACATCTACCTGAGAAAATGTTATGGCGGGAAAGTGCAGAAAATGGTGAGTTAAAAAATGTCTGACTTCCTCTTGGTGAATGTATTTTATTTGGTCTTGATTTAATGTTGTGCATGATGTTTCTGAATGTATTGTTGGGGGGGGTCTCTGAGAGGTAGAGAAGTAGCTACTACGTATGGCGTGTGTATTCCTCATGAAGGGTGTTTGAGTTATTTTGTGGCAAAGACCATTATGGTTTAAGCATTGTATATCCAAATATGGATCATGCATGGGAGCTGCAAACAGTCAGCAGACAATCACTTTCTTCTCATTGCTCTATGTGCATGATGGTTGAGTGCAGATCACAGTGCAGAAACCAGTGAAGGAGGGCCAGGAGGAGGTGATAGACCTGGAGCTGGAACAGACCAGCTGTGAGGTGTGTGGAGGGAGCGACCGTGAAGACCGCCTGCTGCTCTGTGACGGCTGTGATGCTGGGTGAGACAAGTGACACATGCCACCTATCTTTCTGGGATTGTTCCTGATTAATCATAAAATCCAGATTTTATGACATCAGGAATACATTTATCTTTATCTGATCATTCAAATGAACCCTTTTGGTTTTCCCTGGTTTTTATTTTCTGATCATATCCATGTTAATACCTCATTCCTACCCCTCCATTTCTGTGCTCCATGGAAGGTACCACATGGAGTGCCTGACCCCCCCGCTGGATGCAGTCCCTGTGGAGGAATGGTTCTGCCCAGAGTGTCAAGCCAACAACCGCCATTCAAGTAATCATACTCAGTACTGACTCATTACATCTTCATCTGAGGAATACTTTGACGATCCTCTTTGTAATAAGCAGTACAGGTAAGTCCTTTTACCAAGATCCCAGAGTTCATCAATGTTCCTGCTCCTCAGGGGGTTCAGTGGAAGTGCAGAGCGACACGGAGAGTCTGAGCAGCACCCGTCCCACAACCAGCCGCTCCCACCTCCCCACGGCGGGCCCCACCCGGGCCATCGCCCGCACCCAGCAGAGCGAGAGGGTTCGCGCCAGTGTCAACCGCCATCGCATCACCCAGGCACGCATTGCACAGGTTTGGCGTGAGGCGTGTTGCTTCCTACTGGCTTCTCTGTTCTCCCTCACTACCCTCCGCTCCTCGCCACTAGTGTCAACAGCCCTTACTCTGTATCACTGACTGAGTAGTATTGATATGAATGCTGTAATCAAAGATTATTTAGTGAGCAGCATGATAATGTACTTATGAAAAATGAAGTTACCCATGTTTTCTCTCCTGGGTTGAAACGTGTATGATGAGTATGTCTATGTAGTATGGTATTACATAACATTTGGTTAATGATGACAATATGTTATTTTGTCTTGTTTGAATGCGCTCCTTGCACCAAGTAACATTTGACCTGCAGGTCTAGAATAGCGAGCCAGAGAGTGGTGGTTCTTTAGAGTGATGCTGCAGGCTGCCTCATCAGACGGCTGTGAAGGTCATGTCAAGTAAAGCATGTCCAAATAGACAGCAGAGAATCAGTAGAGTGATGCAGTGTTCCTCTGGTCTCAGATCTCCCCCAGCTTTCTGATGCCACAGTCCACCTGGCTGGATGAGACTATCAACGCAGTGGTGGCTGGACTCAACACAGCTGTGTACATACGGAACCTCACATCCCGCGTTCCATCCAGCCGACGACGCAGGACAGGTGACAACACACACACACACACACACACACACAGCCTACTTGGATTTTTTAAAGAGATGCATTTGCTTTGTGCCCACAGTAAAGCGTAGGAAAGGCAAGAGTAAGAGGTCATCGTCTGCCACGGGTGGTAAGGGCAAAGCTGCAGGCACCGGGGTGAAGAGGAGGAAACGGAGAGTGAGGAGGACCAAGTCCAGAAGGAAACTGGTGAGAATTCAAATTTAACAAGTATAACATGAAAGTATAGTACCTATAACAAAATGACAGAATCAGTGCTCATTTTCAATCTGTGTGTGTGGTCCTAGGTGGTGAAAAAGGAACCTACGTCTCGTGGTCGTATAGCCCGGAGCCTGGGGATAGGGAAGCCCAAACGGGGCTCGTCCCTTCCCTCTGTGTACCGGCCTACAGAAACCACTCTGGGCAGTATGAGGGCTGACATAGGAGCTGCTTCGCTCTCTGTCTATGGAGACCCCTACGATCTGGACCCCTTCACTAGCAGGTCTGTCTCAGGCACAACTATAAGATAACATAGTACTTTATTTATCCAGAGAGTGGAAAACACTGAACATATAGACAACAATAATGGACCTCAATACGGTTCTGAATGTTGATTGGCTGTTTAAATCCCACCCCAGGGATGATGAGGAGGAGCAAGCCTTGGCCACGACATCACTGCTGGAGGCAAAGAGGCGTGGCTTATCTCGCTCCGCCCTCCTCTCGCACCAGCCTGTGGCTCGACCAATCACTGCTGGCCTCTCCAGGTACCCCTTCTCATCTCCTTCCACATGTTATCTAGCTCACATCCTTCAATATGGTACATGTCTGACCTGTGGTTGCCATGGTGTTGTAGGCGGGGGCCGAGCCTGCCCCAGTTGGAGGAGGTGGCGGAGGTGGCCCCAGTGCCTGACCTGCTGGGCAGCATCCTGTCAGGACAGAGCATGCTGCTGATGGACAGTTCATACGTAGTCATTAACAGAGACGGATCCCTCAAGGATAACAAACCATGTGAGCTGGCTGCTAGGGTTTCTTCCTTTCTTTAGTTCAAGCTCTTGTCATTTGTTTTTCTTTCTTTCTCTTAGTATTTTTCTTGTACCGTATCTAATACCTGACTATTTAAGAACTAGTGAACGTTTTTTTGCTTGTCAACCATTGATTTTGAAGTCTGTTGGATTCTGTGTGTTACACAGCAAACTTTTTTTAGTTATGTTGAGTAAATTGTCTTGTGTTTGTGTTGTAGTGGGTTTGTCGTCTTCCATGCCCGGCAGCAGTAGGAGCAGCAACTCTGGTGAATCAGTAGCCCAGCTCCAATCAGGGATGTCCCCTAACACAGCAGCCAGCTCCCTTTCTCTTCCCATTAACGGAGACCTGGTAGCAGGACCTTGCCTGTCCCCTCTAACCCCCTCATCCCCCCGCCCGGCCACTTATCCACCTCCCATCCTGAGTCACCCACACCTCCACTTCCCTGCCCCCTGTAGACCCAGCCCTTGTCCTGGACACAGCCACTCGGAGGCCACTGGTGTACGACCCCCCCATGGGACCCAGAGGGCAGCCACCAACACTCCTACCCCAGACTCTCACTCCAGAGGGAGGGAGACGGTGCCACCACAGCCCCAGGCTAAGAAGGCTTCTCCTAAACCAGTATGGGAAGCACCAGTATCGGTGCTTCCCAGGATACCAAAGATAAAACAGAGCGGTGGCCTAACGAATGGCAGCGCCAGCAGAGGGGGTAGTAGTAGTAGTAGTAGTAGCAGCAGTGCTAATGGTAGTGGTAGTAATGGATTCCCTGATGCCTGTGTGAACAGCTTGGGTGGGAACAGGGGCAGGCAGCAAAGTGTGGACCAGCAGCAGGGCAGGACAGAGGGACAGAGACCAGACAGAGCAGGCCCTTCCTCAGCCTTCTCCAGCTCCTTCTCCTCTTCCTCCACCTCTTCTGATTCTCCATCTAACCCTGCCCGCACCTCTTCATCAACATCATCCACGGTGTGCTTCCGGATCAATGCCAGCGGCAATGCGTGGCACGCCCGACAGCTTAGCAACGCCTCTGCAATTGTTGCCTCTGCAATTGTTGCTGCCGGCAACTGTCTAGAACCGGCGTCCGCGGAGGAAGAGGAGGCGAAGAGGAAAAGAGCGGAGCGCAGGAACAAACAGAATCCCCTGACGTCCTCACACACACCGGTCAAAGAGGAGAAGGAAGAGGGGGATATATACGACCCCTTCCACCCAACCGGCTCAGACTCCAACGCCTCAGACAGCGAAGCAGAGAGCCATGCTGGGGGGAAACCAACCATGGTGCACAAGGAAGGTGCCAGCCACCAGGTGAAAGCTGAGGCACTGGAGAGTAGGGTGTCACTGGAGAGGGATGAGGGCTCAGGAGAAGGTCTGGAGGTGAAGAGCGAGCTAGAGAACTCTGACACAGCGAAGCCTGGTCACAGCCCTCACAACGCACCCAGGTCTGGGATGAGTGGCACCAGCACACCTCTGTCCCAGAGCCAGGTCCATCTGAAGAGGGAGAGGAACGAGCCAGGGGATGAGAAAGGGCAGCACAGCCAGACTGGCAACAGTAGAGAGCCCCAGAACCAGAAGACTACTCCTTCCTCATCCAGCTCAGCCTCAATCCACCACAGCAACAGGATGGTGAAGACTGAGATAAAGTCAGAGCTCCAGGACAGCCTCCCCAGGTCCCCACCCAGGTCTGAATCACACTCCAGGCCCTCAGGCCAGGGGAGGAAAACATCCAAAGGCAGGGGGTCTTCCACGGAGCAGCGGTCTGCCTCAATCAGCCCGGAGGCAGGCAGGAGGAGGGGAGACAAGGCCCCGGACCAGGCAGGAAGGAGGAGACGTTATGAGGTGGGTAGGAGAGGAGACAAGGGGGGAGAGAGGAGTTCTAGGCGTTCGGTTTCGAGGGAGAGGAGAAGGACTCGTTCCCCGTCAGACAGCTCTACCTCTGATTTCTCGGAGAGGTCTCGCAGGAAGAAGAGACGGTCACGCTCTCCGTCCAAAGACAGGAGGCGCTCCAGGTAGTAATGTCATTGTGTGATAATGTAAATTTTGTGTGCTGTGATTTTGTGGTGTTTTAATAATAATATAATATGTATTCTAGTATATTTCCTATTATAATAACTATTATTTTGATTAAGGTCAGGGTCAGGCTCCAGCAGCAGAGAGCGGTCCAAGAGGAAAAAGCAGAAGCGAGGGAGCAGGGAGAGGAACGAGGGCAGAGGGAGTGAAAGAGAGAAGGGCCGCCCGTCAAAGGACAAGAAGCGTGATTGCTCACAGTCTCGCTCACGGTCCCGTTCCAGGTCCAGGGAGAGGAGGAAAGACCACTCACGATCACAACCATCATCCTCCGGATCAAAGGACAGGATTCAGGTGCGGTCGAAAGACAGGAAGAGGCCGAAGTCCAGGTCGAGGTCCAGAGAGAGGAGGAAAGAAGAGGGGTCGTCACAGGGCACACAGAGTTCACCAGGGTCTTCCTCAACCACCTCCTCCAAAAAGCTAGAAGAACAGAAAGGGAAGAAAAAGGAGAAAGTGCTCCCCCGTGTCCCTCTGAAAGAGGAGAGAGAGGCTAAAGAAGAGAGAAAAGAGCGAGAGATCAAACAAGAGATGCTGTCCTCAGGACTCAAACCTCTCTCTGTCCTCTCTGTCTCAGAGGTGAAAAATGAGAGTGACAGCAATGACATTAGAACAGAGAGACACGCCTCTCTCTCAGCAAAACTACTCAAGGAGTCTAAGCTGCTCAAAGAGATAAAAAAAGATAAACCTGCCTTTGATATGTTGGAAGAATCACTGGATAGTAAACCAATCAAGAAAGACAAACCTCTGTCAACGTTCAGCACAGTCAAGGACTTGCAAGAGCACAAGGAGATGGAAAAAGAACAACCTTCCGCCCTCATAATGGAGGCGTGCGCCGTCTCCACATCAGACATAGCAGATCAAAAAGATCAAGCGTTAAAGGAAACCATCAAGACTGAGCCCATCTGGCCTGAGCTGCCTCAACAACTGACCTCCAACATCCCTGTTCCTCCCACCCAAACTGGCCAATCCAGCCCCAGCTTCTCAACACTCAGCACCAACCCTGTCCCTGCTCCTCCTCAGGGATGGGGCCCCCTGCAGGTGGCCCCATCCCTGTTTCCTCCTGTACCAAAGGCCCTCACCCGGACTCCTCCACCTGTCCAACCCGTACCAGTGAACTCAGAGAAGCACGAGGTAGAGGAGCCTTCAGACTATGACGATGATGACATGGACGTGGACATGATGCTGGACAGCCTGGACTATGTGAAGACGGAGCCAGGTGGAGAGAGTGGGGAGGCTGGGGTCAAACAGGAGAAGGAAGGAGAGGGGGGGGAGGAGGAGGGGAAGACTGAGGGAGAACCAGTGCCAGTCACAGCAGGTGCCAAGGCCAAACCCTCTGTGAAGAGGGTCACCTGGAACCTGCAGGAGCCAGAGGGGCCACAGCCAGAGAAGACTGGCAGTAGTGAGTATTATTGTACATTTTTATACAACTTAAGCATACCATAACCTGGATTGGCCCAATCAGAGCCATTACGTGTTGAATTACATAAATCAACCATTTCTAGTTGACTCTTTGACTCTGGTGCAGAAATGACCTCTAATTCACATAACACAGAGAGGGTCATAGCTCTTGAGTTAAGACAAGAACAGCTAGTTAAGATGTGTGTTGGTTTTGCCTTCGTCTCAGAGCTGGCCCTCTACAAACTGAAGCTGAAACAGGAGGGAGCTCGCAGACCTACCTCCAATCAGGTACGGCTCATTAGGTTGGCCTTACCTAGATAGCTGTTTTTTGTTCTGTGTGGTGTGAGGTCAGTGCTTAGCTTCAGGCCTCTACCGTTGTATGCTGCCTTTCTTCCCTGCTAATGTGTAGTTATGATCAATCAGTAAACTGGCAGTTCACCATGAAATGGCACCTAGTCACGGCATCATACTGGCGGCCGGTCATGTCAAAATCAAGTAGATGTTCTGTTGATCTTTACAGATATCTGTGATTTAGTGCTCCTAAACCTTCAACACAAACTATTCCTATAATGAACTTGCACCTCTCCTAAAAGGCCACAAGGTGGCGAAGTATGTCCATTTTGACTCGGAGAGCAGTTGTGGTGTGTCCGTGTAAAGCCAGTGCAGCTCACTGAAACTTAATCTGATAGAGGAGGGTTTTATGGTGAAATGAAAGTAGAAACCTTGAAAGGGAAATCAAATCTAAACTGGGGCAAAGGTACACATCACAAAGGCTATTATGTGCTGGTAATACCATAACACAATAACAACATATTTTCTGCTGCATGATGAGGCAATAGATGGTTGAGATTTATTCCCTAGTTTATTGTTGTGGTTAGGTCATATTTCTGTTGTGAATATGAACATGACATTAAATGAAATTAAAATTAAAATGTTATTATTGTACTGTAATTTAGCAGCACATCAAATTGTGTTGCTTAATTTTATTTATCAACAGAAATGCACAGTTTACGTTAACATTATACTTGCACACACATCTCAAATTGGGATTTGTCCAATAATCAAAAGGCTTACATGTGAAGATGGCCTCATCTAAATCTTCCCACCTATAGGAGGCTCCCTTGGGGGCTACGTCACTCACTGACCCCAAGGTCCAGAGCACCAAGAGGGGCAGTGTGTCCATAACGCTCCCCAGTGCCCCCTCCAGCTCCAGCAGCCTAACCACAGTAGGGCTGTCCAAACCTGGGCAGGGGGAACCCAACGAAGACCTGGGAGAGGATGATGCTTCTAGGAACGATAAGGTGAGTCAGAGGATGAAGGAAGGACAACGGTCTTCAAATGGATTGATGCACACTTGGGTGATATCAGTAGCAGCTGTCTAGGCCCCTTACTTTTTTCAATCTTTACTAAAGCCAGTGTGTCTATGTACAGTGCCTTGCAAAAGTATTCATCCCCCTTGGCGTTTTTCCTATTTTGTTGCATTACAACCTGTAATTTAAATTGATTTTAATTTGGTTTTCATGTAATGGACATACACAAAATAGTCCAAATTGGTGAAGTGAAACCAAAAAATTCTAAAAAATTTATAACGGAAAAGTGGTGCGTGCATATGTATTCACCCCCTTTGCTATGAAGCCCCTTAATAAGATCTGGTACAACCAATTACCTTCAGAAGTCACATAATTAGATTGCACACAGGTGGACATTATTTAAGTGTCACCTGATCTCAGTGTATATACACCTGTTCTGAAAGGCCCCAGAGTCTGCAACACCACTAAGCAAGGGGCACCACCAAGCAAGCGGCACCATGAAGACCAAGGAGGTCTCCAAACAGGTCAGGGACAAAGTTGTGGAGAAGTACAGATCAGGGTTGAGTTATAAAAAAATATCAGAAACTTTGAACATCCCACAGAGCACCATTAAATCCATTATTTAAAAAAATGGAAAGAATATTGCAACACAACAAACCGGCCAAGAGAGGGCCGCCCACCAAAACTCACGGACCAGGCAAGGAGGGCATTAATCAGAGGCAACAAAGAGACCAAAGATAACCCTGAAGGAGCTGCAAAGCTCCACAGCGGAGATTGGAGTATCTGTACATAGGACCACTGTAAGCCGCACACTCCACAGAGCTGGGCTTTACGGAAGAGTGGCCAGAGAAAGTATTTGCTTAGTGGTTAAGAGCGTAGTGCCAGTAACCGAAAGGTCGCTGGTTCTAATCTCAGAGCCGACTAGGTGAAAAATCTGTTGGTGCCCTTGAGCAAGGCACTTAACCCTAATTGCTCCTGTAAATCGCTCTGGATAAGAGCGTCTGCTAAATGACTAAAAAAATTTAAAACATAAGGAAACACGTTTTTGTGTTTGCCAAAAGGCATGTGGGAGACTCCCCAAACATATGGAAGAAGGTACTCTGGTCAGATGAGACTCAAATTGAGCTTTTTGGCCATCAAGGAAAACGCTATGTCTGGCGCAAACCCAACACCTCTCATCACCTCTCATCACCCCGAGAACACCATCCCCACAGTGAAGCATGGTGGTGGCAGCATCATGCTGTTGGGATATTTTTCATCTGCAGGGACTGGGAAACTGGTCAGAATTGAAGGAATGATGGATGGCGCTAAATACAGGGAAATTCTTGAGGGAAACCTTTTTCAGTCTTCCAGAGATTTGAGACTGGGACGGAGTTTCACCTTCCAGCAGGACAATGACATTTACATTTACGTCATTTAGCAGACGCTCTTATCCAGAGCGACTTACAAATTGGTGCATTCACCTTATAGCCAGTGGGATAACCACTTTACGATATGTTTTTTTTTTCTTATTTTCTTTGGGGTGGGGTAAGGGGGGGTAGAAGTATTATTTTATCCTATCCCAGGTATTCCTTAAAGAGGTGGGGTTTCAAGTGTCTCCGGAAGGTGGTGAGTGACTCCGCTGTCCTGGCGTCGTGAGGGAGTTTGTTCCACCATTGGGGTGCCAGAGCAGCGAACAGTTTTGACTGGGCTGAGCGGGAACTGTGCTTCCGCAGAGGTAGGGGGGCCAGCAGGCCAGAGGTGGATGAACGCAATGCCCTTGTTTGGGTGTAGGGACTGATCAGAGCCTGAAGGTACGTAGGTGCCGTTCCCCTCACTCCGTAGGCAAGCACCATGGTCTTGTAGCAGATGCAAGCTTCAACTGGAAGCCAGTGGAGTGTGCGGAGGAGCGGGGTGATGTGAGAGAACTTGGGAAGGTTGAACACCAGACGGGCTGCGGCATTCTGGATGAGTTGTAGGGGTTTAATGGCACAGGCAGGAAGCCCAGCCAACAGCAAGTTGCAGTAATCCAGACGGGAGATGACAAGTGCCTGGATTAGGACCTGTGCCGCTTCCTGTGTAAGGCAGGGTCATACTCCGAATGTTGTAGAGCATGAACCTACAGGATCCGGTCACCGCCTTGATGTTAGCGGAGAACGACAGGGTGTTGTCCAGGGTCACGCCAAGGCTCTTTGCACTCTGGGAGGAGGACACAACGGAGTTGTCAACTGTGATGGCGAGATCATGCAACGGGCAGTCCTTCCCCGGGAGGAAGAGCAGCTCCGTCTTGCCGAGGTTCAGCTTGAGGTGGTGATCCGTCATCCACACTGATATGTCTGCCAGACATGCAGAGATGCGATTCGCCACCTAGTTGTCAGAAGGGGGAAAGGAGAAGATTAGTTGTGTGTCGTCTGCGTAGCAATGATAGGAGAGGCCATGTGAGGATATGACAGAGCCAAGTGACTTGGTGTATAGCGAGAATAGGAGAGGGCCTAGAACTGAGCCCTGGGGGACACCAGTGGTGAGAGCACGTGGTGCGGAGACGGATTCTCGCCACGCCACTTGGTAGGAGCGACCTGTCAGGTAGGACGCAATCCAAGAGTGAGCCGCGCCGGAGATGCCCAACTCGGAGAGGGTGGAGAGGATGATCTGATGGTTCACAGTATCAAAGGCAGCAGACAGGTCTAGAATGACAAGAGCAGAGGAGAGAGAGAGTTAGCTTTAGCAGTGCAGAGAGCCTCCATGACACAGAAGAGCAGTCTCAGTTGAATGACCAGTCTTGAAACCTGACTGGTTTGGATCAAGAAGGTCATTCTGAGAGATGGCAAGAGAGTTGGCTAAAGACGGCACGCTCAAGAGTTTTGGAGAGAAAAGAAAGAAGGGATACTGGTCTGTAGTTGTTGACATCGGAAGGATCGAGTGTAGGTTTTTTGAGAAGGGGTGCAACTCTCGCTCACTTGAAGACGCAAGGGACATAGCCAGCGGTCAAGAATGAGTTGATGAGCGAGGTGAGGTAAGGGAGAAGGTCACCGGAGATGGTCTGGAGAAGAGAGGAGGGGATAGGGTCAAGCGGGCAGGTTGTTGGGCGGCCGGCCATCACAAGTCGCAAGATCTCATCTGGAGAGAGAGGGGAGAAATAAGTCAAAGCATAGGGTAGGGCAGTGTGAGCAGGACCAGCAGTGTCATTTGACTTAACAAACGAGGATCGGATGTCGTCAACCTTCTTTTCAAAATGGTTGACAAAGTCATCCACAGAGAGGGAGGGGAGGGGAGGGGGGGGGGGGGGGGGGGGGGGTGAGGAGGATTCAGCAGGGAGGAGAAGGTGGCAAAGAGCTTCCTAGGGTTAGAGGCAGATGCTTGGAATTTAGAGTGGTAGAAAGTGGCTTTAGCAGCAGAAACAGAGGAAGAAAATTTAGAGAGGAGGGAGTAAATAGATGCCAGGTCCGCAGGGAGTCTAGTTTTCCTCCATTTCCGCTCGGCTGCCCGTAGCCCTGTTCTGTGAGCTCGCAATGAGTCGTCAAGCCACGGAGCAGGAGGGGAGGACCGAGCCGGCCGGGAGGATAGGGGACATAGAGAGTCAAAGGATGCAGAAAGGGAGGAGAGGAGGGTTGAGGAGGCAGAATCAGGAGATTGGAGGGAGAAGGATTGAGCAGAGGGAAGAGATGATAGGATGGAAGAGGAGAGAGTAGCGGGAGAGAGAGGGCGAAGGTTGCGACGGCGCATTACCATCTGAGTAGGGGCAGTGTGAGAAGTGTTGGAGGAGAGCGAGAGAGAAAAGGATACAAAGTAGTGGTCGGAGACATGGAGGGGAGTTGCAGTGAGATTAGTAGAAGAACAGCATCTAGTAAAGATGAGGTCAAGCGTATTGCCTGCCCTGTGAGTAGGGGGGGATGGTGAAAGGGTGAGGTCAAAAGAGGAGAGGAGTGGAAAGGAGGCAGAGAGAAATGAGTCAAAGGTAGACGTAGGGAGGTTAAAGTCACCCAGAACTGTGAGGGGTGAGCCATCCTCGGGAAAGGAACTTATCAAGGCGTCAAGCTCATTGATGAACTCTCCAAGGGAACCTGGAGGGCGATAAATGATAAGGATGTTAAGCTTGAATGGGCTAGTGACTGTGATAGCATGGAATTCAAATGAGGAGATAGACAGATGGGTCAGGGGAAAAAGAGCGAATGTCCACTTGGGAGAGATGAGGATTCCTGTGCCGCCACCCCGCTGACCAGATGCTCTCGGGGGTATGCGAGAACACATGGTCAGACGAGGAGAGAGCAGTAGGAGTAGCAGTGTTTTCAGTGGTAATCCATGTTTCCGTCAGCGCCAAGAAATCGAGGGACTGGAGGGTAGCATAGGCTGAGATGAACTCTGCCTTGTTGGCCGCAGAATGGCAGTTCCAGAGGCTGCCGGAGACCTGGAACTCCACGTGGGTCGTGCGTGCAGGGACCACCAGGTTAGAGAGGCAGCAGCCACGCGGTGTGAGGCGTTTGTATAGCCTGTGCGGAGAGGAGAGAACAGGGATAGACAGGCTACAGAAAATGGCTACAATAATGCAAAGGAGATTGGAATGAAATTAACTAAACGTCTGGGAAAGCGAGAGAGCGGAGCCTCCCTCACTTACGTTTCACTGAAACACCCAAATATAACTCTCCCAACTTCCACCTCAGAAACTATAATTGTTGTAAACTACAGCAGTTCAATGTTTTCTAGGAATAGACTAACTTAGTTTATTCAGATAGCTAACTTGGTACAGTATTCTTCAGTGAAAACCGTCCAGGGCACCTAGTCCTATGACGCCACAGCCAACTAGCATGCCAGCCTCCAACAACACGGTTTAGCACCAATACTCGGCCACAACAAACCACCAGTGTGTCAACACGCCAAGCAGATCATTCGTGTCCGTGTCTAACGTTGTGGGTTAGTCCCGACAGCTTGAGTGAGTCCGTCGTCAACTTATTCAGCCAGTTAGTTAGCTAGAATAGTTAGCATACTAGCTAGCCATTGCTCTCTGTCAATGAACCAACCCCTCCTCCCACGGCACGAACACACCGAGAGAGCCAAGCTAACGTTAACTAGTCACCCATGTCCCGAATTCCCTTGAACGACTCTGGCTACCAGTATGTAAAAACAAAACACAAATGTAGGTTTTAACTTACCCCTAGCAGCTACTGTTAGCTAGCCAAGTGCAAAGCTAGCCACTGAATCGACTCGGCCAGTTCGCGTCTGTTCGCTAGGTCGTTCCAGCTATTGTTTAGTTAGCTATCCAGGTAGCAACAAGCTAGCTACATTTCGAGCACAGTAGCTACTTACTACCCAACGTTAACGCTTCAGACAATGAGGTTAGAAAAACAGCTGAATGGTAGGCATTATTGTATGTAATTATTGTAGGCAGCTAGCTGGCGTAATTACAGGTACTCTCAAGCGTGAAACAACTATCCACAGTTGCTAATAGTTACCAGTAGCTACCTGCTAGCTAGTCCAGGTAGTGGGTTAGCTAGCCTTGTGCTTCACCGGGCTCAGCCGAATACAATACTTACCTACAATAATTACATACAATAACCCACGATAACTACCTACAATACCTAACTACAGTCTAAATACATAGTTTAAGCTTTACTCGACACCATATAAGCCAAGCTTACCTCCTGCCAGAGAGAGACACAACCTCACCCGACGACGGCTATCCGCCAAAGTTGGCCCTAAGCATACTGCTAAAGCAACACTTTACGGGGAAACATTTACATGTCTTGGAATGGCCTAGTCAAAGCCCAGACCTCAATCCAAGTGAGAATCTGTGGTATGACTTAAAGATTGCTGTACACCAGCGGAACCCATCCAACTTGAAAGAGCTGGAGCAGTTTTGCTTTGAAGAATGGGCAAAAATCCCAGAGGCTAGATGTGCCAAGCTTATAGAGACATACCCCAAGAGACTTGCAGCTGTAATTGCTGCTAAAGGTGGCTCTACAAAGTATTGACTTTGGGGGGGGCGGAATAGTTATGCATGCTCAAGTTCTGTTTTTTTGTCTTATTTCTTGTTTGTTTCACCCCAAAAAATATTTTGCATCTTCAAAGTGGTAGGCATGTTGTGTAAATCAAATGATACAAACCCCCCAAAAAATCCATTTTAATTCCAGGTTGTAAGGCAACAAAATTGGAAAAATGCCAAGGTGGGTGAATACTTTTGCAAGGCACTGTATTGCGGATGACTCAACACTATTCACGTCAGCTACTACAGCGACTGAAATTATTGCAACACTTAACAAAGAGCTGCAGTTAGTCTCAGAATGGGTGGCAAGGAATAAGTTAGTCCTAAATATTTCTAAAACTAAAAGCATTGTATTTGGGACAATTCATTCACTAAACCTCAACTAAATCTTGTAATTAATAATGTGGAAATTGAGCAAGTTGAGGTGACTAAACTGCTTGGAGTAACCCTGGATTGTAAACTGTCATGGTCAAAACATATTGATACAACAGTAGCTAAGATTGAGAGAGGACTGTCCGTAATAAAGTGTTGTTCTGCCTTCTTAATAACACTATCAATAAGGCAGGTCCTACAGATCCTAGTTTTGTCGCACCTGGACTACTGTGCAATCGTGGTCAGGTGCCACAAAGAGGGACTTAGGAAAATTGCAATTGGCTCAGAACAGGGCAGCACAGCTGACCTTTAGATGTACACAGATAGCTAACATTAATAATATGCATGTCAATCTCTCCTGGCTCAAAGTGGAGGAGAGGTTGACTTCATCACTACTTGTATTTGTGAGAGGTATTGACATGTTGAATGCACCGAGCTGTCTGTTTGAACTACTGGCGCACAGCTCAGACACCCATGCATACCTCCACAAGATGCCACAAGAGGTCTCTTCCCAGTCCCCAAGTCCAGAACAGACTATGGGAGGCACACAGTACTACATAGAGCCATGACTACATGGAACTCTATTCCACATCAAGTAACTCATGCAAGCAGTAGAATTAGATTTAAAAAAACTGATAAAGGTACACCTTATGGAACAGCAGGGACTGTGAAGCAACACAAACATAGGCACAGACACATGCATACAAACACACAATAACATATGCACTATACACACACATACACATGGATTCTGTGTTGTAGATATGTGGTAGTAGAGTAGGGGTCTGAGGGAACACAATGTGTTGTGAAATCTGTTGTAAATGTATTGTAATGTTTTTTTTAAAATTGTATAACTGCCTTAATTTTGCTGGACCCCAGGAAGAGTAGCTGCTGACGGGGATCCATAATAAATACAAATACTTGTTGCAAGCGAATGACCTGTCCCCTTCAGAGCCATGTAAATACATGGCTCTGGACCCCTTTATAATAGTGTGTGTGTGTGTGTTGACCAATCCTTGGTTCTGTCCACAGTACATAAAGAAACTCCACATGCAGGAGAGAGCCATAGAGGAGGTAAAGCTGGCTATCAAGCCATTCTACCAGAAGAGGGACATCACTAAGGACGAGTACAAGGATATCGTACGCAAGGCTGTCCAGAAGGTACACCTGATCATTCGCTCAAAATGACAAATTAAAATGAGTTTTTATGGAAACTGGATAACACGCACATATTAATGAAACCAAAGATGTTTATCATGGGAGTGAATCTTTGGATCAAGTGTCTTTCATTGGTTGATGTAAGGCAGGGGTGGGTAACTGGCGGCCATGCGGCCCGGCCCCCCTTTTGAAGGCCCTCGGACCAATTAGTGGTGCATCAGCAGTTTTTCTCTTATGTCACTTTTTTTTCTTTGGGGTGGGGTAAGGGGGGGTAGAAGGATTACTTTATCCTATCCCAGGTATTCCTTAAAGAGGTGGGGTTTCAAGTGTCTCCGGAAGGTGGTGAGTGACTCCGCTGTCCTGGCGTCGTGAGGGAGCTTGTTCCACCATTGGGGTGCCAGAGCAGCGAACAGTTTTGACTGGGCTGAGCGGGAACTGTGCTTCCGCAGAGGTGGATGAACGCAATGCCCTCGTTTGGGTGTAGGGACTGATCAGAGCCTGAAGGTACGGAGGTGCCGTTCCCCTCACAGCTCTGTAGGCAAGCACCATGGTCTTATAGCAGATACGAGCTTCAACTGGAAGCCAGTGGAGTGTGCGGAGGAGCGGGGTGACGTGAGAGAACTTGGGAAGGTTGAACACCAGACGGGCTGCGGCGTTCTGGATGAGTTGTAGGGGTTTAATGGCACAGGCAGGGAGCCCAGCCAACAGCGAGTTGCAGTAATCCAGACGGGAGATAACAAGTGCCTGGATTAGGACCTGTGCCGCTTCCTGTGTAAGGCAGGGTCGTACTCTGCAAATGTTGAAGAGCATGAACCTACAGGATCAGGTCACCGCCTTGATGTTAGCGGAGAACGACAGGGTGTAGTCCAGGGTCACGCCAAGGCTCTTTGCACTCTGGGAGGACGGCACAACGGAGTTGTCAACCGTGATGGCGAGATCTTGGAACGGGCAGTGCTTCCCCGGGAGGAAGAGCAGCTCCGTCTTGCCGAGGTTCAGCTTGAGGTGGTGATCCGTCATCCACACTGATATGTCTGCCAGACATGCAGAGATGCGATTCGCCACCTGGTTATCAGAAGGGGGAAAGGAGAAGATTAATTGTGTGTCGTCTGCGTAGCAATGATAGGAGAGGCCATGTGAGGATATGACAGAGCCAAGTGACTTGGTGTATAGCGAGAATAGGAGAGGGCCTAGAACTGAGCCCTTGGGGACACCAGTGGTGAGAGCACGTGGTGCGGAGACAGATTCTCGCCACGCCACCTGGTAGGAGCGACGTGTCAGGTAGGACACAATCCAAGAGTGAGCCGCGCCGGAGATGCCCAACTCGGAGAGGGTGGAGAGGAGGATCTGATGGTTCACAGTATCAAAGGCAGCAGATAGTTCTAGAAGGACGAGAGCAGAGGAGAGAGAGTTAGCTTTAGCAGTGCGGAGAGCCTCCGTGACACAGAGAAGAGCAGTCTCAGTTGAATGACCAGTCTTGAAACCTGACTGGTTTGGATCAAGAAGGTAATTCTGAGAGAGATAGCAAGAGAGTTGGCTAAAGACGGCACGCTCAAGAGTTTTGGAGAGAAAAGAAAGAAGGGATACTGGTCTGTAGTTGTTGACATCGGAGGGATCGACTGTAGGTTTTTTGAGAAGGGGTGCAACTCTCGCTCTCTTGAAGATGGAAGGGACATATCCAGCGGTCAAGGATGAGTTGATGAGAGAGGTGAGATAAGGGAGAAGGTCTCCGGAAATGGTCTGGAGAAGAGAGGAGGAGATGGGGTCAAGCGGGCAGGTTGTTGGGCGGGCGGCCGTCGCAAGATTTCATCTGGAGAGAGAGGGGAGAAATAAGTCAAAGCATAGGGTAGGGCAGTGTGAGCAGGACCAGCGGTGTCATTTGACTTAACAAACGAGGATCGGATGTCGTCAACCTTTTCAAAATGGTTGACAAAGTCATCCACAGAGAGGGAGGGGGGGGGGGGGGGCAGAGTGAGTAGTGTTGGAGGAGAGCGAGAGAGAAAAGGATACAAAGTAGTGGTCGGAGACTTGGAGGGGAGTTGCAGTGAGATTAGTAGAAGAACAGCATCTAGTAAAGATGAGGTCAAGCGTATTGCCTGCCTTGTGAGTAGGGGGGGACGGTGAGAGGGTGAGGTCAAAAGAGGAGAGGAGTGGAAAGGAGGCAGAGAGAAATGAGTCAAAGGTAGACGTAGGGAGGTTAAAGTCACCCAGAACTGTGAGGGGTGAGCCATCCTCGGGAAAGGAACTTATCAAGGCATCAAGCTCATTGATGAACTCTCCAAGGGAACCTGGAGGGCGATAAATGATAAGGATGTTAAGCTTGAATGGGCTAGTGACTGTGACAGCATGGAATTCAAATGAGGAGATAGACAGATTGGTCAGGGGAAAAAGAGAGAATGTCCACTTGGGAGAGATGAGGATTCCTGTGCCACCACCCCGCTGACCAGATGCTCTCGGGGTATGCGAGAACACATGGTCAGACGAGGAGAGAGCAGTAGGAGAAGCAGTGTTTTCTGTGGTAATCCATGTTTCCGTCAGCGCCAAGAAGTCAAGGGACTGGAGGGTGGCATAGGCTGAGATGAACTCTTCCTTGTTGGCCGCAGAACGGCAGTTCCAGAGGCTGCCGGAGACCTGGAACTCCACGTGGGTCGTGCATGCAGGGACCACCAGGTTAGAGTGGCAGCAGCCACGCGGTGTGAGGTGTTTGTATAACCTGTGCGGAGAGGAGAGAACAGGGATAGACAGACACATAGTTGACAGGTTACAGAAAATGGCTACAGTAATGCAAAGGAGATTGGAATGAAATGAACTAAACATCTGGGAAAGCGAGAGAGCGGGGCCTGATAGTCAGTCAATTAGCCCATGTCAGCTAACTTTTTTTAGATTGCTAAGTTAGTTTAGCAGCCAGCTATCTAAACTTGTTATCATGATCAAATTACCAGCCGGGGGGACCCCATTGATTTTGTTAGTCAGTTTCACTCAGATATCATATTAAAAACTGCAAATGTTCCTCTCCGCCCCATGTCAAAATGTGTAGAATTGCAAAAAACTCTGAAACGTGTAAAATGTCTCTCTGCTGTCAAGACGGGGGCCACTAAAATGTTTTGCTTGCAATGAGGGGGGGGGAGGAGCCTATGGATGTGGGTACCGATGTGGAGCAACTGCGGCCCTTCATGAGTTCAGATTTTATGTGGCCCCCACTCCCATAAAAGTTGCCCATCCCTGATATAATGGCTTGCCCCAACTTGTGCAATATGAGAGTTTACATTCATCGACTGAGTCTTCCACTAATTCTTGCAGAAAGACAGCCATTGTGTTTCACTGTGGATTTAAATAAAGTAATTTGACTGTGCTTGTACATTGCTTCACTTAACATGCATGTGATTTGTTTTCCATTGCGTTTCCAGGTCTGCCATAGTAAGAGCGGGGAGATCAACCCTGTAAAAGTGGCCAACCTGGTCAAAGCCTACGTGGACAAATACAAACACGCGCGGAAATATAGGAAAGTAGAGGATGGAGGGAAGACGCAGGAGGCAGAAACTGATGGAACAAATGACCCAGAGACCCCATGAGGACCCCACATTCATCCACACACTGGATACTCAGCCATTTTCACACTCATTTGATCATTTCTGTTATAAAATTATGTCAAGTTGTTAGGGGACTCAAGGGCTTTGAGAAATACTGCCTCCAGATTGGCTGGTTTCTTCATTGTTTTTAGGGACTATAAAGTTGTTACGTTCGGTCCATAGTAATTCACCGTCTCACAAAATAATGGAATAGCCTTTTCATTGAAATATGTGGAAATAACTTAGTGGACCCACTTTGATTACCACTGACTGACAAGCATCTGTTTTGAATTGGATTTGTTTCAAGATTCACACAAGGCCAGACTATGTCCATGCACTTTGTTCTCATGGTCTAGCTTGGTCTACTCTGAGAGGTTACTGCAGAGATTCTGTCTTAAACAGACAGCTCTGTCAGATAGCCTTTCAATCAAGAGAGGCTGAGGAATAATGTGAATCAGCTATTTCTACAGACAAAATGTCTGAGAAGAAGCAGTGCTGACTTTTTTTGTCTATTTGTGCAGGGTATTTATGTCCTAATTTTGTGGTGTCAAAGTCTAATGCCGTCGTTAACGTGTTAGAAGAAAATAATGCCACAATGCAGAAAAATACAGGAATGCAATTTTGTAGAGTAGAAAAGTTATTTCTGATTTTAGATTTGGTGTAAATACAGATTTTGAATTCAGTATGTATGCCCTTTCAGTTGAGTTAGCTGCCTACTGGGAATTCACAAATGTATACTGTGAATGGTTCTGGATGAAGTTTGATGTCTCTGTGCTATGGGATGTGGGTCTGATGGAGTGCTGGTTGGCCAAATGGTACAGTTAGGATCTTAATTTGACTAGTTTCTCACAGCAGGAAAATAGTCTTGCAGCAACAGGACATTTTAATTATTGTGTGGATTATAACTAAATAACATTTTTGTAGGGGTTGATAAATTTTTAGTTGGGGCAAATCAAGTCTGAAATTTTAAAGTGGGAATATCAAACTTTAGAAGCCTTTTTAAACCATGAATACGCTACATGTTTGCATTTCCTGCTGTGCCTTGAAATGTCCTGCAACAACAGGGTGATCAAGTTAAGATCCTACATCTGCGTGTGGCTACACATAGTGGCTGTCCTCCTTAGTGGTGCTCAGATTCAGTTAACGCTCCTCTGGTCTCTATTGGCAGAATACTCACTTGAGATAAGGGCACACAACTCAGACTTCCAAAAAAACATTGTTGTTGATAAAGTTTTTATTTGTGCATTTTCTCAAATTCAGACAAGGCCCAAAGTGTACTGGTTTTAATTCTACTTTTACATCAGCTATTGATTAAGACATAGGAAACCAGGTGAGGTGACTTCAATCATCAGCTTTAATTGATCAACTGACCAGTAATTTGCCAAGGATGAATGAAAACCAGCAGACACTGCAGCCCTGGGGGACAGGAGTTTAATATGTTCTGAAGCTGAGTGAATTCTGCACCTTCACCATTATTTTCTCTGTTATTTTATAGTTATTGCAGAATCAATTGGCTAGTCCTGTTCTATATTGGTAACATGGGCTATGTCATAAGACAAAGAAGACCATGCCTGTATTGCATCTTAATGTTTGCAGTTCACACATTCACACTTGATTATGAACTCAACTAGTTGTTCACATTTCCTCTGAAAGATTGTCTGAATCAAAAAGTAAATTTTCCAGTTTTAATAACATTAGCAAAAACCCTTATTCTTGACACTGGTTGGCCACAGTTTTGCCACAAACAAACGGATGTTGTTTTATTACTTACAAATATCAACGTAATCTTGTAGTGGGGAGCATGCACATGGTTAATTAGGTAACAGTCTGTAGTCAGGGCCAGGATGTTTTTGATGACCACATGACCTGACTTGAAAGAACTCTTAACCAAGGCCCAAGGTTTTTCCTAGTCAGGTGGCGTGGGTGACAGAAACATGCGCCGAACACAACAGGTGTAGACCTTACAGTGAAATGCTTACTTACAAGCCCTTAACCAAGAATGCAGTTTTAAGAAAAATAAGAAAAATAAAAATTAAAGAGCAGTATACTGTATGCAATTCATGTCATCCTTATCACTGTTTTTCATTGGAGGAAGTGGTTGGCTTCCTTCCTGATAATGAATACTGCTGTCCACTGTACCTTAAAACTGTTGGCCTTCTCTACTTATTTTCAGAATCCTCTTAATCTCTTCTAAAAGTTTATATGTAGAAAAGTTATTGACAATATAACCCCATCTTTTCCTTTTTTGTAATTGACGTGTCCATACTGTGTGTGTTTAATAGAATGGGTGTGTGTGGACCTGCCTTGGACTAGGCTTGTCTTGTCCTGCACCTTCCAAATCAATCCCTGAATATTATCCCCTTGGCACTTCTGTAAACCTGAAAGGATTTGATAGGTATATCAGAGGGCAAGATGGAGCTATTACCAAATTGTGCATACTGTACCTATCTGATCCTTTAAGATGCACTTGAAATGTCCAGGGGTTGTTTGGAATTGAGCATGTACTGTACCTTGTTTTTGAGAGTGGGGATGGGAAAACAGGTGCTTGAGTTGTGAATGTATTTTGTTTGTTTTTCCCCTCTTTGTTTACTTGACACTTAGGACAAGTAAACAAAGAGTTGATTTGCCACATGCGCCGAATACAACAGTGAAATGCTTACTTACAAACCCTTAACCAACAAGTGCTTCAAAAAGGGAAAACACAAAATTATAACTAAGTGAAATAAAAGTAAGATTTGTCCCAATTTACTTTTTGCTCTGGTGTTCATGTTTTACTAACATGCAAAATTTAGGGGATAACTTTTGTGACCGAATGGGCAACATTTAGGAAAGGAACCCACAATCATAATACCATAATATTTAACAGGAGGATAATGACACATTTTTACAAGCAGTTCCTCTCAAACTGTGATGAAATGATGAGATAAGGGTATTTCACCAGGGTTGGGGTTATATTAATTCCAGTACAATTCCTGTCAACTGTTAAAGCAGCCATGGCATTTCTCCATAGGAATGCATTTCAATGCCTGAATTGGCTGGAATGAAGGTGGAAACCCCAACCCTGCCTGATTTCCACTATTCTGCTGTAGGTTTTTCTGAGCAATGGTTTGTTGCTCTATACTAACTGAGCCAGTGGAGAGGGTTTTCTCTCCTTCCCTGGCAGGTCTGTGTTATCCTTACTGTTGCCTTGACTCTAGCTCACTGGACCTGGGCCAGACTACTGGAGGTCCCACTGGGCCTGGGTTAGACTACTGGAGGCCCCACTGGGCCTGGGCCAGACTACTGGAGGTTCCACTGGGCCTGGGCCAGACTACTGGAGGTCCCACTGGGTCTGGGCCAGACTACTGGAGGTCCCACTGGGCCTGGGCCAGACTACTGGAGGTCCCACTGGGCCTGGGTTAGACTACTGGAGGTCCTACTGGGCCTGGGCCAGACTACTGGAGGTCCCACTGGGCCTGGGCCAGACTACTGGAGGTCCCACTGGGCCTGGGCCAGACTACTGGAGGTCCCACTGGGCCTGGGCCAGACTACTGGAGGTCCCACTGGGCCTGGGCCAGACTACTGGAGGCCCACTCGAATGTTTGTACATATTTTTCTGGGACAATGTAATTAATAATAAAAAATACTGATAACAATTATCTCTAAAGTGATTTCTTATTTTAATTCTCAAAAGTCCTATTATAAAATATCATTTTTTAAAGATAAGTGGCGCTCTGTAGCTCAGTTGGTAAAGCATGGCGTTTGCAATGCCAGGATAGTGAGTTAGATTCCCAGGACCCCCATACGTAAAACATGTATACATGCATGACTGTGAATTGCTTTGGATAAAAGTGTCTGCTAAATGGCATATACTGTTTTATAATTCCCAGGGTATTATTTTGGTGTCTCAAAGCTTTTATCTAAAGTAATTATAGAATATCTTTAAATGCTTGCTTCAGTGTTCATACAAGGTTACAACAAATTCAACCCTACCAAACAAGTGTCTTTGTCCAAACACCCTTCACTTACCCTAGAAAGTGTTACATAAGTTAAGCATTATCACTTTTACCAAGCTACTGTGCTATGACAAGACAGCATTACTTCATAAAAGTGCAGTGACTAAAACAGACCAGTGACTGACTAGTGACTACTACTAGCAGTGGAAATCTCTGCTTGCGAAGTGATGGCATTCCTAGATTAAACCAGTGTTCAATACAGTTGGTCCATTTTCAGCATATTCTCTAGCTAAGGGAACACACTTGACTTGCAGCATGTTTGCAACAGCACTGGTGAACATGATACCATCTTTGTTAGACAGAGTAACCTTTGACAATAACTTCTATGATAAGGCTGTTTTTATGATACACCAGTATCACTACACGCTAGCCTAGGAACATACAGAGTAGGAACTGCCAGATGCGTCATAATAGGCGCGCTGGGAGCCACATTTGAAATCGAATGCATTGAATACATGGAGCCGGGCAGCCTGGTCTCATAGACTAGACGTAACATAGTAAATGTAAATCCGGGACACTCTAAGTAGTATGATATGTTACGTTTGGTATGGTTAGATAAGGGGGGGGGGGGGGGTTGCTGAGGAGTATTTATGTCTGTAATAAAGCGCTTTTGTGGGGAAAAACTAATTCTGATTGGCTGGGCCTGGCTCCCCTGTGGGCTACACCCCTGCCCAGTCATGTGAAATCCATACATTAGGGCCTAATGAATTTATTTTATTTGACTGATTTCCTTATACGAACTGTAACTCAGTAAAATCTTTGAAATTGTTGCATGTTGAGATTATATTTTTGTTCAGAGTACATTCAATCACCCCTTTCATCATCATCATCATCATCATCGAATTCATTAAAAAAATTGTGGATATAGTGCTAAACGTGAAGAACTTGTGGATGTCTCGGTGAATTGAAATGATGTTGTTGCTCTGAAGAAGAAACAATGATACAATGTAGCCTAACAACATCGCTCGCAAACTGCACAGATGTGAGATTTGTTTCACTATAGAAGCACTGGTCCTCTTACATTTTAATTCCAGGTTTCATATCAAAATATTTAAGGGCAGATCGAATGGTCTGCTCTTCCCATAACAGTCACGCCAAGCAAAGGGTTGCTATGAGATTGAAATGGGAAAATAATATACCTGTGAATTACTATGAAATACTTTGCTCCACAATACCGTCTGATGTACATATTTTCTGTATTACATGAATGGTGACCACAGCCCTTCCGAAAATACATTTAAATTGTGTTTTAATGCGATTCTTTCCGTTTCGAATGTGGCTCCTAGTGTGGCTTTACTTCTGGGCTATTATGACGCATCTGGCAGTTCCTTCTCTGTATGTTCCTAGACGCTAGTTAGGGGGCATGATGACATACAGTACTAAAGTAAGAATTCAACAGTAAACATTCCATAACTAACTGGGTCATTTCCTGTTCTGTGTTGTAGAGATTGCACTGAGATAGAGGCAGTTGTCATGTCATGTAAATGTAAACTAATGTAAGGAAACGAGGGATAGACCAGGTTTACCTAATAAACAGTGTTTATTGGTCCTATTTTGCATACTATACAATTTACTGTTCAATGACAATAAAATAGTTGTTTGCTCAGTTTCAGTACAATAAAACAAGTTTTTCAAGACAAAATAATAATAGAGAACACAGACTGAAGGATTGAGTGACCTAGACAGGTTTAAAGTGTGACTCATAGGGACAGAAGTGGGGAATTATTCAGTAGAAGAGAACATACCACTAAATGAGACACTCAATACAGACAGGCTGAGACAGTGATTGGATTTTCACTTATAAAATACCTATCCCACAAACAGTTGTAAAACAGTAATAAAACAGTTACAATGTCATATTCTCTGTTAACCTAACAAGAGGATGGCCTCTCCTAGTGCATGACACATTGATAGAAATATGACACATAGATTCAGATCAGAATAATCTAACACTATCAACATTTGTCTGACTTTCAAAGATCTACACATTTGAATTGTACATATAATTACAGATCAGATAATTTACAATTAATTACGTCATATACAGTACCAGTCAAAAGTTTGGACACCTACTCATTCAAGGGTTTTTCTTTATTTGTACTATTTTTTACATTGTAGAATAATCGTGAAGACATCAAAACTATGACATAACACATATGGAATCATGTAGTAACCAAAAAAGTGTTAAACAAATCAAAATATATTTTATATTTGAGATTCTTCAACTAGCCACCCTTTGCCTTGATGACAGCTGTGCACACTCTTGGCATTCTCTCAGCCAGCTTCACTTGGAAGCTTGAAGGAGTTCCCACATATGCTGAGCACTTGTTGGCTGCTTTTCCTTCACTCTGTCGTCCGACTCATCCCAAACCATCTCAATTGGGTTGAGGTCGGGGGATTGTGGAGGCCAGGTCATCTGATGCAGCACTCCATCACTCTCCTTCTTGGTAAAATAGCCCTTACTCAGCCCGGAGGTGTGTTGGGTCATTGTCCTGTTGAAAAACAAATGATAGTCCCACTAAGCCCAAACCAGATGGGATGGCGTATCGCCGCAGAATGCTGTGGTAGCCATGCTGGTTAAGTGTGCCTTGAATTCTAAATAAATCACAGTGTCACCAGCGAAGCACCCCCACACCATAACACCTCCTCCTCCATGCTTTATGGCGGGAACTACACATGCGGAGATCATCCGTTCACCCATAACGCGTCTCACAAAGACACAGCGGTTGGAACCAAAAATCTCCAATTTGGACTCCAGACCAAAGGACACATTTCCACCGGTCTAATGTCCATTGCTCGTGTTTCTTGGCCCAAGCAGGTCTCTTCTTCTTATTGGTGTCCTTTAGTAGTGGTTTCTTTGCAGCAATTCGACCATGAAGGCCTGATTCACACAGTCCCCTCTGAACAGTTGATATTGAGATGTGTATGTTACTAGAACTGTGAAGCATTTATTTGGGCTGGTAACTCTAATGAACTTATCCTCTGCAGCAGAGGTAACTCTGGGTCTTCCATTCCTGTGGCGGTCCTCATGAGAGCCAGTTTCCTCATAGCGCTTGATGATTTTTGCGACTGCAGTTGAAGAAACTGTCAAAGTTCTTGAAATATTCCGTATTGACTGACCTTCATGTCTTAAAGTAATGATGGACTGTCGTTTTTCTTTGCTTATTTGAGCTGTTCTTGCCATAATATGGACTTGGCATTTTACCAAATAGGGCCATCTTCTGTATTCCCCCCTACCTTGTCACAACACAACTGATTGGCTCAAACGCATTAAGAAGGACATAAATTCCACAAATTAACTTTTTAGAAGGCACCTGTTAATTGAAATGCATTCCATGTGACTACCTCATGAAGCTGGTTTAGAGAATGCCAAGAGTGTGCAAGCTGTCATCAAGGCAAAGGGTTGCTTTTTGAAGAATCTCAAATATACAATATATTTTGATTTGTTTAACACTTTTTTCATAGTTTCGATGTCTTCACTATTATTCTACAATATAAAAAAATTGTAAAAATAAAGAAAAACCCTTGAATGAGTAGGTGTGTCCAAACCTTTGACTGGTAATGTATACTTTTTGTAAAAATGTCTTTCCTGAGGGAAGATTAAATGAGTGATATAGCTAATCAGTAGAGTAATGGACCAGTCAAATAAACAAGACCTAGCTGTGGTCTATTAGATACCAGTCCTAGTCTAGAAGTGGAGTAAAGTAACACAACCAGGGTTAGCGACACAAGGGTTAGGGACACAACCAAAGGACCGACTTGGGATAGGCCCAAAGTGCATGATTGGGACAGACCCAGAGGCCTATTTAGTACGAGTCCTAGATAGGCTAGGTGGTTGGGGATGTGGTATCAATCCTAGATCGGGGTTAAGTGGCTGGGTGGGGATGTGGTACGATTTGTGGTCTAGAAGTATTGCTCCATGGTGTGCTCTGGGCCGTCGAGCCAGGTGGCACTGATAAGCTCCATCAGGCTGTTGTGGTGGGAGATCTGCAGGCTGATGTTGTCGTTCTGGAGGGAAGACGCCCCCTCCCCCTGGGCCACCTCGTGGAAGTGACGACAGATCAAGGGAACCACCTGGGAAGCGAGGGGGAAACGGAGAGAAGGTGGGATGAGAGGAAAGTGGAGTGGTAGGGAGAGGAAAAGCATTAGAGACAGAAGAGATTATTTCAAAAAATTGCATATGCAGTAATTGCATTAGATTACACGCAATAAATATTAGTTCATAACCAATTTGTTCTACGTTACTCTAAGCTGGCTGTTCAAATCAAATCAAATGTTATTTGCCACATGCGCCGAATACAACAGGTGTAGACCTTACAGTGAAATACTTGCTTACAAGCCCTTAACCAACAATGATGGTTGAAGCTCATGAGAGAGATGGTTTTACCTTGACAATGATGAGTTTCTTCTCCAGGGGTTTTCCGTCTGGGAACTTCTCTCCAAAGCACATGTGGATGGTATAGTCAGGAGAGCCTCCTCTGTTCTCCTTAAATGCTATCAGCTCTAAAAGGGTTAATGGATGTCAAAACACTGACATTAGACAAATGGACAGAGGTTAGCATTATACTGATAGTGATTTGTGTCTATCTCTGAGAGGTGTGTGTGTGTGTCTGAGCTTATTCTTCATAGCTGTCTTCATGGTCTTTGTGTAATCCAGTGAGCCAAACTTACCACTCATGTACTTGTCGAAGCTCAACAGTTGTACCATTTCATTTTGGGGCATCTTCCTGGGTTCAGGGTGTGCCTCTCTGGGGTCACTAGTACTGGAGAACACATGGCATTTGTCCTGCCGGTAACCATAGATACCCGTATTTCGTATCTCCAGGAGAAGACCCCTTTGGACGCTCCCTAGGATGCGGTTGGTGTATTCAATCTGGTGGAAATGGAGGCAGAGGAACAAAGAGGTACAGAGAAGTTAGTCTGGGATTTAAAAAATTGTTGAAAAAAAAAATGTTGCTAAGACTTGTTGATAGTGTTTCTTAATGCTATGTGCATTGCTAGTGAATGACCAGTCAGTTTCACTTGCATCCAACAAAGACACACATTCGAAAACCACAGGTATGTACACAGAACGCCATATAGCATCTCTGCATGTCTGGCAGACATATCAGTGTGGATGACGGATCACCACCTCAAGCTGAACCTCTGCAAGACGGAGCTGCTCTTCCTCCCGGGGAAGGACTGCCCGTTCCATGATCTCACCATCACGGTTGACAACTCCATTGTGTCCTCCTCCCAGAGTGCGAAGAGCCTTGGCGTGACCCTGGAAAACACCCTGTCGTTCTCCGCTAACATCAAGGCGGTGACCCGATCCTGTAGGTTCATGCTCTACAACATTCGGAGAGTACGACACTGCCTTACACAGGAAGCGGCACAGGTCCTAATCCAGGCACTTGTCATCTCCCGTCTGGATTACTGCAACTCGCTGTTGGCTGGGCTCCCTGCCTGTGCCATTAAACCCCTACAACTCATCCAGAATGCCGCAGCCCGTCTGGTGTTCAACCTTCCCAAGTTCTCTCACGTCACCCCGCTCCTCCGCACACTCCACTGGCTTCCAGTTGAAGCTCGCATCTGCTACAAGACCATGGTCCTTGCCTACGGAGCTGTGAGGGGAACGGCACCTCCGTACCTTCAGGCTCTGATCAGTCCCTACACCCAAACGAGGGCATTGCGTTCATCCACCTCTGGCCTGCTGGCCCCCCTACCTCTGCGGAAGCACAGTTCCCGCTCAGCCCAGTCAAAACTGTTTGCTGCTCTGGCACCCCAATGGTGGAACAAGCTCCCTCACGACGCCAGGACAGCGGAGTCACTCACCACCTTCCGGAGACACTTGAAACCCCACCTCTTTAAGGAATACCTGGGATAGGATAAAGTAATCCTTCTACCCCCCCTTACCCCACCCCCCAAAAAAAGAAAAAAGAAAAAATACATATTGTAAAGTGTTATCCCACTGGCTATAAGGTGAATGCACCAATTTGTAAGTCGCTCTGGATAAGAGCGTCTGCTAAATGACGTAAATGTAAATGTAGTAGCAGCACCCCTACCTGTTTGTGGTCTAGCAGGCCGTCAGTGCTTGGGAAGCAGAGGGTCTGGGCGTTGGGCTCAGGGGCATCACACTGGTAGTGGAGCTGAACCCTGGGGCCTGACACCTGGGTCTTCAGCATCTCTCTCCTCCTGTAGGAGATGGTGATCTCCAGGTCCAAGAGAGACGGCTGGGCAGCAGGCAGGTTGAGCAGGGCATCCTGGTTCACTGTGGGGAGATGGGAGAAGTCTTCAAATAGGTCACATTTTACTACATGACTGAAGTGCACTTTATTTTACAGTACAGAAATGATTAGAACTACATGGTAAAAAGGTATTTACACAATAACAACAAGTTGTATGTACAGTGGGGGAAAAAAGTATTTAGTCAGCCACCAATTGTGCAAGTTCTCCCACTTAAAAAGATGAGAGAGGCCTGTAATTTTCATCATAGGTACACGTCAACTATGACAGACAAATTGAGGAAAAAAATCCAGAAAATCACATTGTAGGATTTTTTATGAATTTATTTGCAAATTATGGTGGAAAATAAGTATTTGGTCACCTACAAACAAGCAAGATTTCTGGCTCTCACAGACCTGTAACTTCTTCTTTAAGAGGCTCCTCTGTCCTCCACTCACTACCTGTATTAATGGCACCTGTTTGAACTTGTTATCAGTATAAAAGACACCTGTCCACAACCTCAAACAGTCACACTCCAAACTCCACTATGGCCAAGACCAAAGAGCTGTCAAAGGACACCAGAAACAAAATTGTAGACCTGCACCAGGCTGGGAAGACTGAATCTGCAATAGGTAAGCAGCTTGGTTTGAAGAAATCAACTGTGGGAGCAATTATTAGGAAATGGAAGACATACAAGACCACTGATAATCTCCCTCGATCTGGGGCAAGATCTCACCCCGTGGGGTCAAAATGATCACAAGAACGGTGAGCAAAAATCCCAGAACCACACGGGGGGACCTAGTGAATGACCTGCAGAGAGCTGGGACCAAAGTAACAAAGCCTACCATCAGTAACACACTACGCCGCCAGGGACTCAAATCCTGCAGTGCAAGACGTGTCCCCCTGCTTAAGCCAGTACATGTCCAGGCCCGTCTGAAGTTTGCTAGAGTGCATTTGGATGATCCAGAAGAGGATTGGGAGAATGTCATATGGTCAGATGAAACCAAAATAGAACTTTTTGGTAAAAACTCAACTCGTCGTGTTTGGAGGACAAAGAATGCTGAGTTGCATCCAAAGAACACAATACCTACTGTGAAGCATGGGGGTGGAAACATCATGCTTTGGGGCTGTTTTTCTGCAAAGGGACCAGGACGAATGAATGGGGCCATGTATCGTGAGATTTTGAGTGAAAACCTCCTTCCATCAGCAAGGGCATTGAAGATGAAACGTGGCTGGGTCTTTCAGCACGACAATGATCCCAAACACACCGCCCGGGCAACGAAGGAGTGGCTTCGTAAGAAGCATTTCAAGGTCCTGGAGTGGCCTAGCCAGTCTCCAGATCTCAACCCCATAGAAAATCTTTGGAGGGAGTTGAAAGTCCGTGTTGCCCAGCGACAGCCCCAAAACATCACTGCTCTAGAGGAGATCTGCATGGAGGAATGGGCCAAAATACCAGCAACAGTGTGTGAAAACCTTGTGAAGACTTACAGAAAACGTTTGACCTGTGTCATTGCCAACAAAGGGTATATAACAAAGTATTGAGAAACTTTTGTTATTGACCAAATACTTATTTTCCACCATAATTTGCAAATAAATTCATTAAAAATCCTACAATGTGATTTTCTGGATTTTTTCCCCTCATTTTGTCTGTCATAGTTGACGTGTACCTATGATGAAAATTACAGGCCTCTCTCATCTTTTTAAGTGGGAGAACTTACACAATTGGTGGCTGACTAAATACTTTTTTCCCCACTGTATGTATTTTTCCTTTTTTATTGACTTGTGGATGTATGGACCTTGCATACTGTGGTAGTCTGGCTGCTGTACTGCTACTGGGACAGGTGGTGTTGAGTGGATCTGGGAGACTGGCTGAGGCTCTGTTAGAGGCTGGAAGGGGTAGCAGTCTTCTGGTACCACTGGGTGGTGTGTGTGTATATAGTTCTCTGCCCACTGCTGCTCCTCTGTGGAGAAGAAAAAAAGGGAGATTTGAGAAAATTGGTTTCTTATCTCATTAGAAAGCTTTCTCCAGAAAAAAAAAATGTTTTTGTGTGTGAGTATTAAACAAGCCATTGTAAGGGGTTGACTTTCTGCAGGTGGAGAGGTGTGCTGTACCAGTATGTTGGTTCAGGTCTAACGTGTCCACAAGCTTGAGTAGATCATCATGCTGTTTGGAGAAAAAATACATTCACAGATTTGAAATGGTTTGACATTAATTTGTCCTCAAAAAAGACTGAACAAGTCAGAATATAACAGAATAGATAGAATAGAATAGTGCTTTCTAGGAGGGCAGAATTGGACAACCAGCTCCTAGTTCAATATAGATTTAACATGACTGTACCTCCATTCCTGGGGGGGTGTAGCCTGTAGAAGTGAGAGAGCTGTAGATGTCAATGTCATAGTCCTCCACAGCAATTTCCTCTATGTGCGGGCTCTTATAGTTATCTGTAACAAGAATACCTAATCAAATTAAAGTTGGGGCAAGAGGAGACTTGCGTTGGCTACCTGAGCTAATGTCTAGGCTTTAGCTCAGTGGGCTAACACAGTCTTGTGACACTTTAGATACATTACACAAGCCATAGTGATCATACACTCATTGTTGATAATCAGGTAGACTTTATGGGGGTCGTCTGAGTCCTTGGAGTGGTCTTCCACCATCATGAAACGCTTGGTCAGGTTGTTCAGTACACTGCGAAAGTTAGCCTTCCACTTTGCCTTGTCATTGGGATGCGTGTTGATTTTACCACTGACCACTGCCCATGCCTGTAACCACCAAAGAATTTGGGAGTTTAATTTCTGCAATATCCTGTAGCTAGGAGGCAAAATAATGCCATGCCAACTGACCAAACCTGTCAACATAACAATGATGAAAGGCTAATTGAAGTGTCATAACAAGTTTATGATAGATTTGTATAACATTACAATATCATGACTCATGACGTGCAGTTTGCAATCAAACCACACCCTCTATTTCCTTGAATCTCTTCAAAACACAACCTTCCACAATGTAAGCCTATTCCTTACCCTGAATATTTTACTGTCGTCCTCGCAGCAGTCCTTCCTAGAGATGTGTTTCCACGGAACTCTGAACTTGTTGTTGTCCACAAAGCACAAACCGGCGTATTGCCCGGTCAACACCTGTTCTATCAGCCAGTCGGCAAACTGAGGTTTGGGCTTGCGGCTGGAACATACAGGGAGGAAGCAGATACATACTTCAGAAAAGAGAGGCAGTAGCTGCAACATTGTTGAGCGAATTGTCAATGGAAGAGCACTTCTTAATTTCACAGACAGAGAAAAAGGAGAGAGGGAGAGAGACTGTACCATTGCACTATACCCGCAACAATCAATTCAATCCGTAGGGTACCAATGTTTTTACAGTAGAAGCACACTACAATCACTAGTAAGCATAGCCGAGCTCATTGGAATATCCATTCCGAACTCCTTTTTACAGTAACTGTTATCAGTAACTACAACTAGCCTTCTAGTCTGCAGATTGCGAGAACATATCTGTTTACCTTACGTGCAAATATGAAAAATATTACCTTTGCATCTTTAATGCTGAGCCGCGTACTTCTGTCATACAATGGAAGTGTACTACTATGCAAGTGTTCTTCTAATTGTTTTCAGGTACATTGCTGGGCACAAGGGTTTTATAGGCGTCATGATGTCAGATAGAGGGAGTTCTCTTGGACAGAGAGGAGGAGGAGATTAATTTAATTAGGTATTTCAGACGGTACTTTAATATTAAAATGCATGTACAGTACCAGTCAAAAGTTAGGACACACCTACTCATTCAAGGGTTTATCTTTATTTGTACTATTTTCTACATTGTAGAATAATAGTGAAGACATCAAAACTATGAAATAACACATATGGAATCATGTAGTAACCCAAAAATTGTTAAACAAATCAAAATATATTTTAGATTTTAGATTCTTCAAAGTAGCCACCCTTTGCCTATGACAGCTTTGCACACTCTTGGCATGCTCTCAACCAGCTTCACCTGGAATGCTTTTCCAACAGTCTTGAAGGAGTTCCCACATATGCTGAGCACTTGTTGGCTGCTTTTCCTTCACTCTGCAGTCCAACTCATTCCAAACCATCTCAATTGGGTTGAGGTCGGGTGATTGCGGAGGCCAAGTCATCTGATGCAGTGCTCCATCACTCTCCTTCTTGGTCAAATAGCCCGTCATTGTCCTGTTGAAAAACAAATGATAGTCCCACAAAGCGCAAACCAGATGGGATGGCGTATCGCTGCCGAATGGTGTGGTAGCCATGCTGGTTAAGTGTGCCTTGAATTCTAAATAAATCTCTGACAGTGTCACCAGCAAAGCACCCCCACACCCCCACACCCTTCACGGTGGGAACCACACATGTGGAGATCATCCGTTCAACTACTCTGCGTCTCACAAAGACACAGCGGTTGGAACCAAAAATCTAAAATTTGGACACTTCAGACCAAAGGACAGATTTCCACCGGTCTAATGTCCATTGCTTGTGTTTCTTGGCACCAAGCAAGTCTCTTTTTCTTATTGGTGTCCTTTAGTAGTGGTTTCTTTGCAGCAATTCGACCATGACGGCCTGATTCACACAGTCTCCTCTGAACAGTTGATGTTGAGATGTGTCTGTTACCTGAACTCTGTGAAGCATTTATTTGGGTGCAATCTGAGGTGCAGTGAACTCTAATGAACTTATCCTCTGCAGCAGAGGTAACTCTGGGTCTTCCTTTCCTGTGGCGGTGCTCATGAGAGCCAGTTTCATCATAGCGCTTGATGGTTTTTGTGACTGCACTTGAAGAAACTTTCAAAGTTCTTGAAATGTTCTGGATTGACTGACCTTCATGTCTTAAAGTAATGATGGACTGTCGTTTCTCTTTGCTTATTTGAGCTGTTCTTGCCATAATATGGACTTGGTCTTTTACCAAATAGGGCTATTTTCTGTATACCCTCCCCCTGCCTTGTCACAACACAACTGATTGGCTCAAACACATTAAGAAGGAAAGAAATTCCACAAATTAACTTTTTAGAAGGCACACCTGTTAATTGAAATGCATTCCAGGTGACTGCCTCATGAAGGTAGTTGAGAGAATGCCAAGAGTGTGCAAAGCTGTCATCAAGACAAAGGGTGGCTACTTTGAAGAATCTGAAATATAACTTTTTTGGTTACTACATGATTCCATGTGTGTTATTTCATAGTTTTGATGTCTTCACTATTATTCTACAATGTAGAAAATAGTAAAAATAAAGAAAAACCCTGGAATGAGTAGGTGTGTCAAAACTTTTGACTGGTACTGTATGTGTAACCAACTTGGTTTGGTGTAATAATGGCGACAAACGCCAATCTGAAAGCGTAAGTTATTCTGCGAAATAATCTTGTCACCAACTGATGATGAAACAAACAAAGTAGGCCATTTTTCTCTCACACTGAAGTTGGCAATCAAACTGTGTCAGGGTCAAGATAACAGGATGTGTAGCAAATATTTATGAAGTCAAATATTTATGAAGTCAATCTGACTCTTTTGACAACAGGCTGAAAGCCTCACTGAAGCTGAAATTTCATCCACCTTGTTCTGGAGTTTTGTTTTAGGTATTTATACCTAGATATGAATTGATTTGGGACTGGGTTTGGGAAAACATGTAGGCTAATTATAATGTATCAAAATCATCAGTAAGACTACATTTACTCACTTCTGTACACCTGTAACATTCCATTTAAGTGGTTTCTTTAGAATTTCATGCAGATGTGTGTCTTATGTAAATGAATATCCATGAGTGGAAATTCCTCTACGGAAAACTAGCCAGACTGCTTTGTTGCTTTGTTAGCATTTTAACCCATGTCAACTGTAGTCACTATTCTGTTGGTCCTTTCATTGCTTTCATATTGCACAATGCATCCATAAACCAGGGAACTTCAGGGGATTACAGGCATGATCTACAAAACAAATGCCCTTTAAAATGCAACTAGAAAACTTTGAGTGATTGTATCAGTGATCTACAGTGCATTCGGAAAGTATTAAGACCCCTTCACTTTTTCCACATTTTGTTACGTTACAGCCTTATTCTAACATTTATTAAATTACTTTTTTCCCTCATCAATCTACACACAATACCCCATAATGACAAAGCAAAAACAGGTTTTTAGACATTTTTGCAAATTTATTTAAAATAAAAAACAAATATAAGTCAAGTATTCAGACCCTTTGCTATGAGACTCGAAATTATGCTCAGGTGTATCCGGTTTCCATTGATCATCATCACACCTGTCTATATAAGGTCCCACAGTTGACAGTGCATGTCAGAGCAAAAACCAAGCCATGAGGTCGAAGGAATTGTCCGTAGAGCTCCGAGACAGGATTGTGTCGAGGCATTGATCTGGGGAAGGGTACTAAAAAAGTTCTGCAGCATTGAAGGTCCCCAAGAACACAGTGGCCTCCATCATTCTTCAATGGAAGAAGTTTAGAACCACCAAGACACTTCCTAGTGCTGGCCGCCCGGCCAAACTGAGCAATCGGGGGAGAAGGGCATTGGTCAGGGAGGTGACCAAGAACCCGATGGTCACTCTGACAGAGCTCCAGAGTTCCTCTGGGGAGATGGGAGAACTTTCCAGAAGGACAACCATCTCAGTAAAAGGCACATGATAGCCCGCTTAGAGTTTGCCAAAAGGCACCTAAAGGACTCTCAGACCATGAGAAACAAGATCCTCTGGTCTGATGAAACCAAGATTGAACTATTTGGCCTGAATGCCAAGTGTCACGTCTGGAGGAAACCAGGCATCGCTCATCACCTGGCCAATACCATCCCTACGGTGAAGCATGTTGGTGTCAGCATCATGCTGTGGGGATGTTTTTCAGCGGCAGGGACTGGGAGACTAGTCAGGATCAAGGGAAAGATGAACGGAGCAAAGTACAGAGAGCGCTCAGGACCTCAGACTGGGGCGAAGGTTCACATTCCAACAGAATCACGACCCTAAGCACACAGCCAAGACAACGCAGGAGTGGCTTCGGGACAAGTCTCTGAATGTCCTTGAGTGGCCCAGCCAGAGCCCGGACTTGAACCTGATCGAACATCTCTGGAGAGACCTGAAAATAACTGGACGCTCCCCATCCAACCTGACAGAGCTTGAGAGGATCTGCAGAGAAGAATGGCTGTAGCGTAACAAAATGTGGAAAATGTTAAGGGGTCAGAATACTTTTCTAATGCACTGTATAGGCTTATGTTGTAGTGACTTTATATCATATAATTTATCTGATATATCAAAGTTGATACAATGCAGTTATATTTAGGTATAAGTAGTATGTGCATGAAAATAACAAGAAATTCCACTGCAGCCCTTTGAGTTTGATTCAAACATTCAAACATGACCTAATATAAGGCACCCTCCTCCTTCAGCCATGTGGCCACTTGACTGGATAGTAGTAGTTGATTGGGTTGCAGTCTGAGAGCAAGTCTCCATCCAGGGTTACTATTACCCATAACAGCTGCTGAGAGTGACGTGTTATTGGTTGAGAGGATCCAGGGTGGCTCACCACAGATGAAACTTCACTGTAAATACAAGATTAGGTTTTGTTCCTACTAATAACACCACATCTCTGGATAGACTGATGCTATCTATATGTGTCCCATAGGGTGGCGCACAATTGACCCAGCGTCGTCCGGGTTTGGCCGGTGTAGGCCGTCATTGTAAATAAGAATTTGTTCTTAACGGACTTGCCTAGTTAAATAAAGGCTAAAAATAAAAAATAAATTATCTGGGAAGACTGATGCTATCTACATATGCCCATTCAACATTCTCACCAGGCATCTGCAGATCATCTATTGCATCTGTCCAATGCTGTAACTAAACAGTGCCTTTGATTCAAGTTACCATGCAGGCAGTCAGAAATACATAATACTTGTATTTTTGATAGTCATTAATCTATCCAAGAGTTGCTAAATGTTTTCACCTTCAGTTTGCTCCACTGTTCACCTTGGTTTGAAAGTAAGCTATAGACAACAGTTATTTTCCTGTGCATTTTCTGTACATTGTAATAGAAGCAGGTCAAGCTGAACATCACTGTCCTAATGTGAGGTATAAGAAATGGGACTGAGAGTTTCAAAGTGAAAAAGCTGCAGGTGGGTTGTTATATCATGTGCTTATGGTGAGTCATCGTAAAAATAAGTCAGACAGCGAGGAGAGTGAGAGGGAGTGGGGATGCCCTCTTCTTGACGAGAGAACCTCTAATATTGTCTCTCAGCTGTGCTTAGATTAACACTTCCTCTTTCCAGCCCTTCTCTTTCAATACAATCACACTGACATGCAGCATGGGAGAACACCAGGATATACAGTGCATTCTGAAAATAGTCAGACCCCTTGACTTTTGTTACGTTACAGCCTTATTCTAAAATTGATTAAATTGTTTTTCCCCCCTCATCAATCTACACACAATACCCCATAATGACAAAGCAAAAACAGGTTTTTAGAAATGTTTGCAAATGTATAAAAATATAAAACTGAAATATCACCTTTTACATAAGTATTCAGACTCTTTACTCAGTACTTTGTTGAAGCACCTTTGGCAGCGATTACAGCCTTGACTCTTCC